AAACCACAACTTTTATGAGGTCAGGGAGAGGAGACAGAATCAGAGAAATGCCCAAAGTGAAGGAAGGGGAGAGTAGGCTGGAGAGCAAGATAGTTGGTCACAAAACCATTGTAAAATTGTGATTAGTTGTACTAATGAGTATTAAGCAGTTTACTTGAGCATTATTACATGCACTTTGCATGTACCATCTCATTTCATCCTTACTACAACCTTCTGAGGTATTCTTATTATTAGCTGCATTTAATAGATGGACTAAAGTATAAGATGTTATGGGATTTGCCAAAGGTCGTAAGTGGTGGAGCCAGCATTCAGGAACAGGTTTACTGAATCTAAAGCCTGTGACCCTAGCCCCACTCATATTTTATGCTCTTCTTTAAACTCATCTTGAGTTGGATGGACCTCTGATAGGAAGAAGAGAGAGGCTGGAAACGAGACCTGACTTCTCTGTTGTGGTCCTTCAGAAGCCAGATATCCAGATAGCCTTGCTTCAGTCTAGAGTACAAAACTTTATTTGCATCTTTTTCTTAATATAACTTTAGAATAATATTCCTCTACCTGATATTGTTGAGTGATATTACACTGGGTAATGAAGATGAAAGGACACATTCTCCCATCCAGCAAGATTAGCTTAAGCATGATTATCACTGTGAAGATAAATTTGATAATCAGTTAATCTATATGTCTTATTTGCACATGTATTGTAGGAATGAGGCAATTAGAGAAGGTATTTCACTTTAAATAATGCCTTGTAGTATTTGCTTATATTTGAGGTAGTCTTATTTCTTCAAATACCTTATTAAATCTTTAATTACTAAATCATTATAAATTCTGTCCTATTTGGTCTGAACATCTAGCATCTGGAAGGTCCTAAGTGAACTCTGGTTGGATGATTCACTTGAATGGGACACTGTTAGCTGTATGCAGTGTAGGAATTAAGACTGGATTGGAGGTTAGTGGGGCTGGGTGTTAACTGACTGCCCCACAACCTTTGCCACCTTGACCAAGTGTCCTAACTTTGCTGGGCCTGAGTTCATCTGCAAGCAGAGTCCTTCCAACTCAAACATTCTTTGATTCCAATTCTGATTTTCTATAAAACTGCAGAATCCTTAAAGGAAAGGATTTCTACTCATTTGTCTTTGTATTCCCAGCACCTAGTAAAATGCCCAGCACTAGGAAAAGCAGAACATTTATGCCAAATGACTATATACAAAAGGCCTTGAACCTTCTTGACCATTAGTAAGAAGACTATAGTGGAGATTCTACCCACTTTCAAAGTGGGAGCACAAGGAAAAATGCTCGGGGGCCCTTGTTTTTTATTGCATTTTTCCTTGAAGAAAGAGGAATTATGAGGCATTTTGTAGCACTGGGTTTGAGGTTTTGGTTCTCTTTCTTTCTCACCTTTCATGCCACTAATACTGAAGTAAAACAAACAGTAACTAGCATAAAACCAGAGTCCTCTTCAGCTACCAACAATGACATCAATCTAAAATATTCCAACTGCCTTATCCTGTATGCCACATCATTACAAGCTTATAGTTGAGAATGAAATCTCTATTGCTTGAACTCTCTCTCTTAAAATTCCAGTTATTTAGAGATGCTCCATCCTACCTGCTACAGACTGAATTGTGAGTTCCCCAGATTCTTATATTGAAACTCTAGTCCCCATTGTGACTATGTTTGGAGATAGGACTTCTGGGAGGTAAATAAAGGTAAATGAAGCCATAATGGTAGAGTCTTAATCTGATAGGCTTGGTGGCATTGTAAGAAGAGGAAGAGACAGATTTCTTCATCTTTGTCTCCACTGTGTGAGGAGATGGAGAAAAGGCGGCTATCTGCAAGCCAGGGAGAGAGAGCTCACTGGAAACTATACCCTGATAGAACCTTGATCTTAGAATTTCCAGTCTCCAGAACTGTGAGAAAATAAATTTCTTTTGTTTAAGCCACCTAACATCTAGTATTTTGTTATGGCAGCCCAAGCCATACCACCTCCCACTATTGTAGATATATATTATGATTTCTAATGAGGAGTGGTTTTCTAGTGCCAAAGGCCAGCCTATCACCAGGTAGAAAGGGCATTCTTTTTTATTCAAAGTATTAAATACATGGCTTCCTCAGGGTTTAAACCACTCAATCTTTTGAAGGAGTTAGGAAAGATTATTTAAAGTGGTAATACATTTTTTTTTAAAAAGGAGAAGTTAAGGGGAATGAATGAAATGCTTTTGGAGGATTACTTTGGCTGTCTTTATAGTTGTCTAAGCTACAGAGTAGGAGAAATGAATCCAAACTGTTTATTCAACAAACTTGATAAAACAAAAAATACATTTAATTCACAAAATAGTTATATTTCTCTTCCATACCTACTTGTTATTTTAGGTCACCAGATTTAAAGGCAGAATTGGTTGATATTCCCTACCATACCCTCCACTGTTTGTCACAAGTTAGTCTTGGAGAAAGTTTCTACTATGAGAAGGGCTGGTAACTTTTCACCAGGGTTTGCAGCAAGATATGACAAAACGAGCACTGTTAGAGGTGTTGAGGTCCGTGGTATTCCTGTGCTTGTTAGCAGTGCAGATCTATGTGATTTGACAGAAATTTTGGTGATTCTCTAGCACGGGAAAGGTGAAAACTTATTTGTTGTGGAAAAGGTAAAAGTATATTGAGGTTAAGGGAGCTGGAGGAGGGACAGTGCTTGGGAAAATTTAAGGATAATGAGAAAAATAAGTCTTTTTCTTGTTCCTTTCCTATTTGGACATCATTCTGGCGTAGGACTGACTTTCCTTTAATTTTTTTTCCCCAAGATTCTTGTAGAGGTTTTTTGTCATCTTCATTGACTTCTGGCTTTTACACATTTTGTGATTCCTCTTATTGGCACACCACCCAAGAGCAGTAAGGCAGTGAAAGACTCTAGATCTGGCTTTAAGACTGGTTGGGTGACCTTGAACAAATGACTGCATCTCCTTGATTATTAGTGCTCTCATGTATTAAAAAATGGTGATACCCACTTTTTCATGGGTTTTTGATTCAATTAAAACTGCAGGTGAACAATCTATATATTGTAAAAACTTTTTCTTCCCTACCTCCTTTCTTTCCTCCTTCCCTCCCCCCTTCTTTCCTTTCTTCCTTTTTTCTTTTCTTCCTTCCTACCATTCATTTCAATATTCTACCCAGTTCTAGAAAAGATGAAAGATAGTTTTTACCTCTTCAACGATGATGCCTCTTACTCTACTATCCCCTTAGGCTTCTGAATGGACTTGCTTTGTCACCCTGGTTTTATAAAATGAGGAGGTGTGTCATTATATCTCTGTCTCTGGCTAGAGGCAGAAGATGACTAAGAACATCTTTCTTTTACAAGTGAGAATTGTTAATATGATGACTTTGAGATAGTTCTAGGTTTTTCTTTCCTTTTAAATAGTTTTCTAGATCCTCCTCATATAATATTGTCCCCCTGCTCCCAGCCCTTCCTATACTCCTGTTTTTCAAAATATACCACCCAACTATTAAGAAAGGAATTCCCTGTTTTGTGAATGCCAATTAAGACATATCACTTCTCATTTGAAAGAAAGTATTATGTGCTGAATGACTCAAATTGCTTATCTTCTAGCTGGTAAATGCATCACCTGGCCGTTGTTGCTTTATTTCAAGTCCTGGGAAAAAGAGAGAAAAGTCCCACGTAATGTAACATTGAAGTTCAAAACTGAAAAGGAATTATTATGGATAATAATGGTAACCTTAGTGAACATTTATTGTGTCTTTAGTATGGGCCAGTCACTACTCTATGATTTTACGTGTTCTAAACTTAGCAATCTTCACAATGGCTTTTTATGCAAAGTAGTATTTTATCCACATTTTTACAGATGAAGCAAAAAAAGGTCAATTAATATGTCCAAAGATGTACAGTTAGCATGTTTTAAAGCCAGGATTTCAATCCAGGCTATCGGGACCTGAGTCCACATTCAATGAGAACTTCTCATACCTTTCAAATGAGTACACTGAGTACCTGGGGAATATGAGGTTTGGGACAATTTTTTTATCCAATATCTCCCAATATTGATGGCCAAGTTTTGGGGATTTGAACCTAGATATTAACAATTCCAATCTTCAATCTCATCGGCTCTATGCACCACTAAGATGTGTGCCCCTGCATTTATTTCTCATGATCAAATATCAAGGAGTTTCAAGCACTACGACCCTTATTGTCTTTGGTAAACAATAGCTGCTAAGATCCTCTTTCATTTAATCAAAGGTATTGTGGTTATATTCATATATTTGAAAGGTGGTATTGATAATCTTTGATGATATTGTTAGTGTTTAACCGATGTGACTTTATTTGACTTCAGTGCCCTGCTTCCATTAAAAAAAAAAAAAAGTCACCCAACAGGATGGCGTTTGGAAAACAATTCCACACCAGCGGTTGCATTAATTGCTACTTTGAATGTTCCTGTTGTGAACTGAATGGAGCCACTTTGGATCTATTTCTTAGAAATAGCCATTTTTATTACCTCTGCTCTTGGATGCACAGTTCTGAGATCTTCAGCGGGAAATATCTTCACTAATCACTTTCCCTTTTCTGTTTTCTTTCCATAAGTAATCCTTTTCATTCTTATGACAGTTTTTAATATTCTCAGATTTAATTTATGAAGAATAGGGGATGTTGTAGCACGGTCTTGCCTCTCCTTTCAACACATAGCATTCTGTTAACTCCCCAAGTGTAACATTTTGAATTTCATATTTAATTCAAATATGATCCATTATTTTATTAAAGTTGAGTTTTTTCTTTACATATGTGTAGAATTTGCAAAGGCTTTATGAAAATGGCTTTTGTGATATGCAAGTAAGAATTTCTTTTAGTATCAGTCATTTCTTCAGTGAGTGTTTTTGAAAAAAGTAGGATAAAATATAGTATGATGAATAATGCTTGTTAGCAATTGTCAGCTACACTATGCCTGTTAGAAAACACATTCTGAAACAATTCAGATTAAATAATGCTTTTTGTACTCCACTTTTTTTTTTGCAATTTTATAAGTTCATTTGATGTATTTGATGATCAGCAATGAGTTCTCATCCACATTGACTGTCTGTAGATTTTTGAAAGTGGTAACAGGTACATAGGTAACCAAAGTATAGAGCTTATTTGGTGAATCATCCTCATTACGTTTTCTGGATGACTGCACACGGATTCGGTATGGGACATTCCTTATTCCTTTGGCCCAGACAGCTTTGTTGAGCCTGGTATCAATGCACACATCTGGAGTTCCTATTTCCTTCATAGCAAATTTCGGAATCTCTCTGAGTGCCCGAGGGGCACGCTTCTTGAAGCCCACTCCATGGATGCACTTGTGAATGCTGATAGTGTATTCTCGGGACACCACCTCGTTAATGGCAGAATGGCCCTTTTTCTTCTCGCCACCCTTCTTTGATAGAGAAGTCGTATCTTCTCTATTTTTCCTGCTTGACCCTTGACTGACCCCAGGTTAATAAAATTCAAGTAAATAAATTATCTGTAGCCCTTGAAGTCAATTAACAATTAAACAAATACTCATTTGCCCCTTGGTATTAAAAAATACTTACTTGCACAGTCCTATTAATATACTGTGCTGGGACTTACTATTATGCATGGATGCAGAAATGATCCAGCTATGGTCCCTGTCCTAGGGAAGTTGAGGTATAGATTGGGAAAAAAGAAACATACACAAGTAAGGCAAACACTTAGCAAACACTATACTGCTTGAAAGTATAAACAATATGCCAGTTTTTCCCTCTTATTTATTCTGCCTTGCCCAGACCCTCTTTGCTTATTTGCTGAATCCTAACATTCTTGACCTCTGTGATCATGCCTGATTGCAAACCACCTGGTATATCATTCATTCACTGAGCCCTGTTCTCCAAGATTAGAATAAAACACACCTGGTTTGATTACATTCTTAAGAAGCACATGTGAATGTCCATAGTATCCTTCTACAACCCCCCCAAACCCTGAAAAAGTCTTGAAAAAACTGTTCTTATTTTTAATACTTCTATTAAAATAATAATAGTAGAGTATTTAAGAACATGGTTTCTAGATCCAGGTTTCCTTGTTTCAAATCCCAGCACTGCCATTTACTAGCTGTGGAACTCTGAGCAAATTACTTAAACCTTGTGTGCTTTATTTTCCTCATCTATAAAATGAGAATAATAGTGCCTGTCTCATGGAGTTGTTATGAGGATTGAGTAAATATTTTTGAATACCTGGTATTACCTAAGTTTTTTAAAATGAATATAATGTGACAATTCATTTAAAAAGTTATTATGGAGTGCATACAATTCTTTGGAACCTCTAAAATAATTGGCCAACTCTTTCATCTCATTCTCTGCCTCTGATTTTTACCTGTGGTGGGACTATTTTGAACAACTTTGTAATCACGTGCATCACAACATCAGCATAGATGGGCAAGCTCATTTCTGCCCTAATATAGCAATCTTGAGTTTCACTGTCAGTGAGCAGTACTTTTGGAAGGTGACTCTGATTTAAGCAGTTGATCTTACCAGAAGATACTAGGATTACTGCAATTTGATTGTTGAGTCATTAACTTGAAAAGCGTCTATCCAAGGGTGTCTGCTTTGATGTCTACTCAAGAGAGCATCCTCTGTGGAGATAGGGCAAGGGTCTCTAATTAGTGTAATGAACTTCTGTCTTCCTAAAGCACCAGTTCTGCTTTTAGAAATAAATCAATGTCCAGCATCACTATTTGTTGCTCAATTATATAGATACTTCAGTGTGTTCCTGTGCATTTACGAACTGTTTAATGGAGGTAAGTATATTCAAATAGCAGAAGAGGCTTACTTTTGCATTTATGAGTAACATTGAGTATGCCACACCTATTTATTATTTATTTAATTTCATCACTGGTTGAGTAAAGAGCATGTCTTTCTGAACTATTTTTTTTAAAGAAACTGGACAGTAACTTTGAGTAATTAGAAGACATAATCTCAGCAATCCATAAATGTATTCATTTAAGAGGTGCCTCACAGTATGCTGGGAAGCTGGGGTGTGTTGGTGAACACGGCCTATTCACTACTCATAAATGAGCAATTGCAACATAGTGTGATGAATATGATATATGAATATGATGTGTTCAGGGATTTTATACATTTCCATTATTGGTTGAGTAAATATTTCACAAGTCTGTGAAGTAATCCATCTTAGATAATAAAAAGATAAAGTTTGGTTGGGATTTTATTTTTTAACCCATGGGTTACAGTAGATAAGTGCCAGGTATAACATGAGCACAATTGAATTTAAGTCAAACTATTAAATATCTCAGAGTGCTAAGTGAGACAAAATAACATTTAGTTATCAAACCTGGATATAGTCTTATTGTGATAAAATATAAGCATAATATAAAATTTGCCATTTTAATAATCTTTAAGTGTAGAATTATGCGCATTAAATACATTTTCAATGTTGTACAACTATCGGCACTATCCATTTCTAGAATTTTCAGTATACCAAATGAAAATTCTATGCCCATCTGAATATTTAACATTAATAAAAAAATTTTCAGACCTCCCCCATTTGAACTTGCCATAAAATGTGCGGGCAAATTTACAATAGTTCCATCTACCTGTTACAGTTATTCTGAGACTGTTTCAGAAATACTTACAAATCCTTCAGCTTCCATTATTACTTTGATAAGATTTTATAACAAGAAAGCAGGAGAAGTGACTTTGGATAGGTCTGAAGTCATGATGTTAAGCATTTTGTTGCAAGTAATGCAATTTAATTCCAACTAAGTACTTTTAGCTTTACTAAGATTAGTAATTAAATATTTAGTTGTGCAGTAAATTAGCTACGCCATGTGGTCATTGGAAAGTAGGTACTCCATTTACTGAAACATAAATTTTTTACAAGGTATTGTAATATAACTAGTAAATTAATAATGACAATTTAAGCTTCAGCTAATTAAACTCTTCCTTAGCATTTATTAATAGAGGGTCTAAACTAAAACAACTTTGATTGTGATAAGTGTTGTGATGATTTAGCTATGCCAAACAAGAATAAAATTGAAAAAATGGAATGTTTGTAACTAATTATAAAGATAAATAGTGAGTTTTCAACTGTCTTTATAAATGTTGATTGACAAATCTAAACCAGAATTAAATATGTATTAAGGAGAGAGACTTTATGGTCAACTTCATACCCTTATTCAGACAGAACATTTTTTTAATGAGGATTGACAACATTGCTATAACTTACAATCAAATAAATTTTAAAGAGCATCATCAGTGTGCCCAGAACGCCATAGGCCCTTAAAAGAGCATAATTAAGTTCTCTGAGGCTCAGTTTTGTTGTTATTGTTTTTTCTAATCTGTAAAATAGGGATACTAGAGGTAAATCATGAGCATAACAGTGCTGTATACAGTAAGTGCTCCAGATTCCATTCATTTATTCATTCATTAAAATAAACAGTAATTAGAATTAATGACATATGCATAATGTATTCTCATTTAAGTATCTAAAAATAAAAGAGACATAATTTGCCAAAGTACCTTTCCTCAACTCTGAAGAGTTCAGGCAAGTGAGGGAGAGAGATGTTTGAGTGGACGACCGTATAGCATGACAATTCATTTGTATTTTTCAAAGTTGTGCTTTCAGAGGTGCTGTAGACTCAACACAATTTGGAGGCATAGCAGGAGAAGTGGACAGAAAGGAGTGGAGCCACAAGAAGCCTTGGAGAGGGGATGATGCTTTGAAAATATTTAACATAAGAAGAAGTTTGACAGGCAGATGTGGTGAGGGAGTCATTCTGAGCAGAGAAAAAAGGGCAAAGCACAGATTCCTCAAAGAGCATGGCTTTTTCATGAAGCAGCAGGAGATTCATCTTGGTCTGAGCAGAGCAGGTACACAGGGAAATGGGAGGTTGTGACTTTGAATAGGTCAGCTGGGGCCAGATGGTAAAAGGTTTGGTTTGTTATCTAAATAGTTTGAATTATTTGATGGAGGATGGAATAACCGTGTCACTGATGGGTTTTAAGGTGAGAGAGTGGTTGACATGATCAGATTCAGATTTTTGGAAAACGTATCTGGCAGCAGAATGTGGAGAGTGTATTAGAGATGAGCAAGAGTACAGACAAGGAGATGCTTCAGGAAATGTTTACAGTATTCTCAAAGTTCAGTGTGCACAGAAATCACCGAGAGTTCTTGAGAAAATACACATTGCTGCACTCTACCTGCAAGTTTCAGATTCAGAAGGTCAGGAACAGGGAAGAATTTGCATTCTTTTTTTTTTTTTTTAATTGGATTTTAGGTTTTGGGGTACATGAGCAGAGCATGCAAGACAGTTGCGTAGGTACGCACATGGCAGTGTGCTTTGCTTTGCTTCTCCCCTTCACCCACATTTGGCATTTCTCCCCAGGCTATCCCTCCCCACCTCCCCCTCCCACTGGCCCTCCCCTTTTCTCCCCAATAGACCCCAGTGTTTAGTACTCCCCTTTCTGTGTCCATGTGTTCTCATTTTTCATCACCCGCCTATGAGTGAGAATATGCGGTGTTTCCTTATCCTCAGCAAACTGACACAAGAACAGAATTTGCATTCTTAACAAGTTTACAGGTACTGCTGCCGCTCTGGGACCCTGTTTTGAGATCCGCTGACATAAATAAACAATAAAAGTCTGTCTTAATCAGTTTGGGCTGCTGGAACAAAACACCATAAACTGGGTAGCTTCAACCATATTTATTTCTTCAAAATTCTGGAAGCTGGAAAGTCCAAGATCAAGGTACAAGCAGATTCCATATCTGGTGAGAGCTTATTTCCTGGTTCATAGATAGCTGTCTTCTCACTATAACCTCACAAGATGGAAGGGGAAGGGAGTGTTCTGGGAACTCTCATATAAGAGTACCAATTCCATTCATGAGGCTCCACCCTAAGGACTGATCCACCTCCTGATACCACTGCCCTGAGGATTAGCTTTTTACAGATGAATATTAGGACATAAGCATTGGTCACTGAGCTGAGTCAGTGAAATACTAGTAGTGAATGAAATCTCATTCTAAAGGCCTGATTGATTGGAAGCACCCTCATGATACAGTTTTGCCTGCTGAAATTTTGCTGGAATAATATTTCCATGCCTTGGGCATTTGATGATGCTGGAGGGTGTTAGGTGAAATAAAGTGAACCAACTGTTTTCTTGAATAAAAGTGACATGTGGCTCCCAGTGACTGTTAATGCTGTGATAGCCTTAGGAATATTCTAATTCAAATTCCATTGTTTTTTATTCAGATTGAGAGAAGGAAGGGACTTGCCTTTCCACAGAGCTGGTTATCTAAGCAGGTTGGTTTCTGACATAAGGTGCGGGTCCTGCAGTCTTGCCTAGTTCCTGTGTTTTCAGCTATATTATGGTCAAAGGAGAACCTGGATGAGTTTTACTTGTTTCACTGTTTCAGCTTTTTAAAAAGTAACCATGTACTTTACTAAGAAGGTTTA